CTCGTTCGTTTGGATCAGGTGTCAGCCAGGTTATCCGAGCTTCTTAACCCTTTACAGGGAAAAGGATTTTGGAGTCTCTGGCCAGGAGGGATTTTATAGTACTGTACACAGGAGAGCTGTTACCCTTCCCTTTCTAGTTATGACAGCATCTTATGTTTTCTCTTTATGAGGTCAAGTACACTGTCCTTAGCTACGCTATTGGGTGTTAGGCAGGAAAGAGACTGGATTTCAGAACTAGGTGTGCAGGGGTTTCCCCTGAAGCGCTATTTACAGTTGAGCCATGTGCCACTGGGACTTTTGGCAGCTCTGTTTTCCAGACCTTTCCTTCCCTGTTAGCTGCTTTGAACAATTCACAATGCAAAAAGCTCCTTCCATCACTCTTCGGCCAGCACAGGGCAGCTCTGATGTGTTTGAGCCCACAGTCTTTAAAGAATGTTTCAGTGAAGCTACTCACACTCTGCTGCTGCTACAGACACAGCTGGAGATGATTTGTAAGGGGGAGATGAAAGCTTGCAGGCTATCGGTCAGTCAGACAGTTCTAGAGGCAGAGCGATACGCCAATCCAAGCCAAGTGGGCTCTGGAGTGAAGTGACTTGCTGCTGCTGGGTTTGAGTTGGGGAGAGAGATGGCCTCTGTGTGTAACGTCCAGGCAAACAAAAACGTAGCTGCGGCTGGGCCCCAGCAGTTTGATTGGCAAATCTTCCCTTCGTTGTGTTAAACACATCGGTTTGGTATAAAGTGCACAAAGACTCAGCTGAGTTCTCCAAATACGCCTATAGTGAAGCGTCTGGAACCCTTCAGTAGAAATATCCAACGGCTGGACTCAGCAGAGAATAAAGCATTGCTGGCTGAAGCAAACAGAAAGCACAGGGCTCAGAAGAGCAGACTAAGGGCTTTGGTTGTTTTCAGATATTTTTATATAATGGTAATAAATGTTTAAGGAACCCAGATCGATTCTATTTTGTAACCTCACCCTCCTTAACTATGTCATATGGCAGTTCAGAGGGCTAAAAGCGTGACTCAGGCCACATAGACTCATAGAGATGTAGGGACCTTGAGAGATTATCTAGTCCCGTCCCCTCTGGTGTGACAGAACTAAGTATTAGCTAGACCATCCCTGATAGCTATTTGTACAGCTTATTCTTAGAAACCTCCAGTGACAGAAATCCCACCACCTCCCTAGGTAGAGTGTTTCGGTGCTTAACTATACTCACAATTAGGAAGTTTTTTTCAGAATGTCTAATCTAAATCTCCCTTGCTGCAATTTAAGCTTATTACTTCTTGTCCTCAACAGATTAGGAGAACAATTCACCCCTCCCTTTATAACAACCTTTTACATACTTGAAAACTGTTATCTTGTCGTTGTCCCGCCGCCCCCCCCCCCCGCCAGTCGTCTCTTCTTCAGAAGAAACAAACCCAGTTTTTCCAATCTAGCCTTATAAGTCACATTTACTGGACCTTTAATCATTTTTGCTTTTCTGCTCTGGACTTTCTCCAGTGTGTCTACATTTTTCCCAATGTGTGGTGCCCAGAAGTGGAGACAATTCTCCTGTTGAGGCCTTACCAGCGCGGAGTAGAGCGGAAGAATTACTTCTCGTGTCTTGCTTACAACACTCCTGCTAATACATCCCAGAGTGATGTTTGCTTTTTTTGCAACAGGGTTACACTGTTGACTCTTATTTGGTTTGTAATTCATTATGAAACAGTCAAGTGAAACTGTGTCAAAAGCCTTACTGAAAATCAAATCTACAGCTTCCCTCCATCCACTAGGCCACTTACCATGTCAAAGGTTCCTTAGTTCCCTCTGAAAATTCTGTATGCAGGGGACCAGAATTAGAAGACATGACTGGAAAAAGAGCTTGTTAAAAGACATTTAGCGAGCATGGTGTCACTATGGCAGGGTCTTAAGCAAGGTAAACTGTTTTCTAAGGAAAGACAGGAATAGGTTGGGTAATGGTATAATTACAAAAGAGGCTAAGTATTTAAAACACTATCACTTCCACAAAGCGAATATAGCCTCTAGGCGTGGAAGCAATCCAAAAGTCCTGAGCACTTCTTGCATTTGCAATTATTAGCACTCATAAAAATAATCAGA